TAATTTTGCACTCATACTCTCCTTCACATTCTTCTCAACTCTCCTCATGCTCTCTTCTCCTCACGCTCTCTTCCTCATACGCACACACACTCTCCCTCTCAATCTGTGCCTCTCCGGTATTCTTTATCACATAGTATTTTCGCACATGACTACCCTCTCACTCCCTTTCACAGTTTAAACTCACCAAGTTCTGCCGACATGCTCGTGCCCTTCTTTGCTGCTGCCGCCGCGGATAATGCGCATGACGCAGAGCGTGGTGCGCGCCTGGCACCAGCAAAAACACACCAGCGCGACTTGCACCAGCAAAACAACGGTAGTGAGAGGATAAAGAAGGGGAAATGAAGAAGAGAGAGAAGGGAGGGAGAATCGAGAGAGAACGGTAAAAAGGAGAGAAAGGAGAAGAGGGAAGGGAGGGAAGAGAGGTGAACACATATGTGAAGGAAAGCAATAAGATGCATTAAAGATAATCAACGCACCGACATAAAAATTAGGCCTTACGAAACGACAACACGTCAGTTTCTGGATAAGACTGCTCTAAACTGAGTGTGAGAAAAAAAAAGAACGAAAACATGAAAATACGAGGTGGTAAAAACGCAACCGACGAAAAGGAAAAGTAAGGACGGTGGATAGAGGAAACAGATGGCAGATTATGCACGAAAAAACGAAACCAAAAAAATACAAGAAAGTTACGAAGTCTTTACAAAGGGCCCTAAGCTTAAACAGCATAGTCTAGCTAATAAGTCATATTTTTACACAGTTAGGTACGAGATTATTGTGAAAATAGTAGAAGGTGGGGCCTAGGCTTAGTAGCCTAGGCCCACACTAGGAGGTAGGCAAGGTGAGTTCGAGTGGGGTTTCTCCTAGGGGAGAGTATCGAGAAATTGGAAGGGAAGTGATTTCACTAGCAAGAGTTGGGATACAAGTACAAAGCCCCAAATTGGGTTGTACTCATTACAGAGTACCCCACTGCAGGCTAGACAGCAAATATATTCTGACACACCCCCATAGCCAAAGTGGGGTGTAATCAGCAGAGCAGGCAAAGTAGTACAAGCTCAGGGTGGATCACAATGTCACCACACATTCTGAGCACAAGTTAAAGAAGCAATAGTTAAAGTGCACAATTATCAGCAAAGCTAGTGGTGGTCACAATGGGCAAGTGAGGAGGAGGAGGGAGAGTGAGAGAAGAGGAGATGGGAGGCGACTGCTGAAGCTGCAGACACACGGGCAACAGGAGCGGCTGGCACAGTGGCTACCGGGACAGCGCCCCGGACTACTGGAGTAACTGGCTCGGCGGCTACGAAGAGCGGCAGGAGCAACGGACCCACGGGCGACAGGCGCAGCAGGCTCACTGGGCTACCAGGACAGCGCCCCGGACTACAGGTGCTGCGGACTACAAGACGGCAGCCTCCGCTCAACCTCCCACAAACAGTTCCACCCCCCTGACACACACCCGCTGCTACACCCCTAGCTCCACTCCCACGCACCCCCCTTAAACCCTAAACCCCAGTCTCCCACACAACCACCCCCCTCAGCGACAGCTGCAGCAGTGGGAGACGACGGAGGAGGAGAAGGAAGGGGCGACACAAACGGAGCACCCCCACACCCGCAAACGGGGGGGGGGGGGGGGGGGGGGGGGAACAGTGCGCACGAGGGCGCAGACAGTAGCAGAGCGCACGAGGGCGCGAGCACGAGGCACGGGCAGCAACAGGCACGGGCAGCACAGGCACGGGCAGCACAGGCACGGGCAGCACAGGCAGCACAGGCACGGGCAGCACAGGCACGGGCAGCACAGGCACGGGCAGCACAGGCACGGGCAGCAACAGGCACAGGCAGCACAGGCACGGGCAGCACAGGCACGGGCAGCACAGGCACGGGCAGCACAGGCACGGGCAGCAACAGGCACGGGCAGCACAGGCACGGGCAGCACAGGCACGGGCAGCAACAGGCATGAGCAGCAACAGGCACGGGCAGCACAGGCACGGGCAGCACAGGCACGGGCAGCACAGGCACGGGCAGCACAGGCACGGGCAGCAACAGGCACGGGCAGCACAGGCACGGGCAGCACAGGCACGGGCAGCACAGGCACGGGCAGCACAGGCACGGGCAGCAACAGGCACGGGCAGCACAGGCACGGGCAGCACAGGCACGGGCAGCACAGGCACGGGCAGCACAGGCACAGGCAGCAACAGGCACAGGCAGCACAGGCACGGGCAGCAACAGGCACGGGCAGCACAGGCACGGGCAGCAACAGGCACGGGCAGCACAGGCACGGGCAGCACAGGCACGGGCAGCACAGGCACGGGCAGCACAGACACAGGCAGCACAGGCACAGGCAGCACAGGCACGGGCAGCACAGGCACGGGCAGCACAGGCACGGGCAGCACAGGCACGGGCAGCACCGGCACGGGCAGCAACAGGCACGGGCAGCACAGGCACGGGCAGCACAGGCACGGGCAGCACAGGCACGGGCAGCACAGGCACGGGCAGCAACAGGCACGGGCAGCACAGGCACGGGCAGCACAGGCACGGGTAGCACAGGCACGGGCAGCACAGGCACGGGCAGCAACAGGCACGGGCAGCACAGGCACGGGCAGCACAGGCACGGGCAGCACAGGCACGGGCAGCACAGGCACGGGCAGCAACAGGCACAGGCAGCACAGGCACGGGCAGCACAGGCACGGGCAGCACAGGCACAGGCAGCAACAGGCACAGGCAGCACAGGGCAGCACAGGCACGGGCAGCACAGGAACGGGCAGCAACAGGCACGGGCAGCACAGGCACGGGCAGCAACAGGCACGGGCAGCACAGGCACGGGCAGCACAGGCATGGGCAACACAGGCACGGGCAGCACAGGCACAGGCAGCACAGGCACAGGCAGCAACAGGCATGGGCAGCACAGGCACGGGCAGCACAGGCACGGGCAGCAAAGGGCGTACCGGGTCCAGGGGCGGCTGCTGCTGGGGCGGCTGCACCTGGGGCTGCTGCTGCAGGAGCGGCTGCTGCAGTGACGGCTCCAGGGGCGGCTGCTGCTGGGGCGGCTGCTCCATGGGCTGCTGCTGCAGTGGCGGCTCCAGGGGCTGCTGCTGCAGGGGTGGCCGTTCCTGGGGCTGCTGCTGCAGTGGCGGCTCCAGGGGCTGCTGCTGCAGGCTCTGGCGGTAGCTGCTGCTGCTGGGCGGCGGCGGTTGCTGCTGCAGAGTGGCGGCGGCTGCTGCTGCTGGTAGAGCGGCGGCTGCTGCTGCAGAGCAGCGGCAGCTGCTGCTGCAGGCGCGGTGGCAGCAGCTGCTGCAGGCCTGGCGGCGGCTGCTGCTGCTGGGTGGTGGCGGCCGCTGTCGTAGGCTCTGGCGGCGGTTGCTGCTGGCTCTGACGGCGCCCCGCGGATCCTGCACGAACGCCGCGATGAGCAGGGGCGACGCCCCGCGGGTCCCGCACGGATGTCGCGACAAGTAGGGCGGCACCGCGCGGGTCCCGCACGGACGTCGCGACGAGCAGGGGCGACGCCCCGCGGGTCCCGCACGGACGTCGCGACGAGCAGGGCGACGCCGCGCGGGTCCCGCACGGGCGTCGCGACGAGCAGCGGGGAGGGCAGCGCGCAGGCCCCCCGAGGGCGCTTCGACAGACGGGAAAACCGCCGCGCGCCCCGAGCGCACGGCGGGATGAAAAACTCCGAAACCCTAAAAAAATTTCGCCGCGCGCGGAGCGCGCGGCAGGAAGAAGGAATGCAGCGGAAGTATAGGGGCCCACAGGCCAAGGTAGAACGGGCTCTGATACCATGTGAAAATAGTAGAAGGTGGGGCCTAGGCTTAGTAGCCTAGGCCCACACTAGGAGGTAGGCAAGGTGAGTTCGAGTGGGGTTTCTCCTAGGGGAGAGTATCGAGAAATTGGAAGGGAAGTGATTTCACTAGCAAGAGCTGGGATACAAGTACAAAGCCCCAAATTGGGTTGTACTCATTACAGAGTACCCCACTGCAGGCTAGACAGCAAATATATTCTGACAATTATTACGCATGTCTATCTAAGACTCATCTAACTTAGTTGCAGTTGAGCATAGGGAGTAGTTAGGGGGGAGCTTAGGTACTTATGCTTCTCACCTTCCTCTGGTAGGTGGGGTGCTCAGCGTGACCAGCGAGAGAAACGAAAACAAACCCTAATGCAAGTAAGCATTTCGTCGCGTTGTTTATTGATAAAATTTTCCGTCTCGAAGATGAGACATCTCTGATAGCGTAGTCGATTGGAAAGTCGTACCTTTTCGAGAGGTCACGGTTTCAACCCTCACGTGGTCAGTTATGCTACTATCAACTCGGTATAAAAAGTAAAGAAATAATTAGAAAGGAGATCCATATTAGCTGTTAGATCCGTATAATGTTAATTAAGCAAAAAGCTTCGCAACCCTAGGACGACCTTGTCGCCTCTTGTTTTTTTTTTGGTAATTGATATGTACACCGAACAGAACAAGCATACATGATCAATAACAATCGTGACTGTGCATGAGGGGAGACCCCCCGGTCGCTCCAGGTGTGGCCTCTAAGGAGGACGGTGAGTCATCCTCGGTGCAATCCAGACATTTGCAAAAGCGTTCGTCCACGTCCACGACTTGCGATTTTTGTCCCGGATCCGAAGCAACAGCCTGTCTTCCTGTTCCATTGTGCGACGAAATTTCTCCTCCTGACGTGTACCCTGACACTTCCTCCACCTCGTCTCCCTCGTCCGCGTGTACAGCCTTGCATGGAGCCGAAAGGCCGTTTCGACCCTCCGGAGCACCTTTCTCGCACGAAACCGTTGCCCTCGAAAAACAGCATGACACCTTTCCAGCCACAGCTGATGCAGCGTGATTGACGTAATCGTGGCTTCCGGAAAAACTGAGCTGGACCCTGCCTTCTGAAACAGCAGGTCCCCAAGAGACGACACCTCGCGTGGGGCGTTCATCAGGCGGAGAGTTTTCAGGAGCGCCAAGAGCACTGGCTGTATCTTCGAGCAACTGTAGAGACAGTGCTCGAGGGTTTCTACCCCGCCGCAATAAGGGCAGACCGGTTTGCTGCTAAAAAACGCCACCCGCTCCCCAACCTGCAGATTGAAATTGTGGATCCGTAGCAGAAGGTCCCTCGGTTTGCTTGGCGTGGCTAGTGAGTCCCGAATGGCAATAGTCCGCTTCCAGTTTATCTGCCCGCTCCACCTATCGTTCCATAGTGTCTGCTTCGCCGATGGCTTCTGCCCCTCCCGCCAAAGCAACTTCAACAGCTTCATAGGTGCAACTCCCCCGCCCTCGAAGATGGGGAAATCGGAAAGGTTGCGCCCCACAGGATGACGGAAATTCCAAACCTCATCTGAAGCACCCCCCCGAGAGTCCTGAGCGGGCGCAGAGAGCAGCAACTCCCTCCATCTCCGGGGGGCAGCATCGAAGGCTTTCAGCGCTAGCCTAGCGGAGGCTTTCCCTCCCAGCTCCCTCTCTAGTACAGCCAAGGGTTTGAGTGCAGGAGCCCCAGACTCGCCGACTGTTAGCAGAACACCCAACCGTAGCTCCCACAGCAGCGCCGCCTCCTTTTGCCCGCCAATCGGCGTTGTTCCTTTCAGCAAAATACGCTTGTTGAAGACGACGCGCTCCTTTCCCACCGCGTCACGAGTGTTTGCTTCCGGTAGGTTACCTAGCGGCGTTTTCATAAAGTTCTCGACCGCCACCTTCCAGCGGGGACTTTTCCCCTCCCAGTGACGAAGCAGCTTCTCATGAGCAAAAAAGGTTTCGACCCCCATGGGCAAACCCGCCGCCCGCGTCATGAGGTGCCGTTTCAGCGCGTTCGTCTCCAGCACCAATAAACCCACGCGACGAGCCGTGAGACACGCCAAGATCATCTCCGGGTCGTGCAGGCCCACACCCCCCAGCCTCCTTGGAGTGTGAAGCAGATCATTGCTCCAGAGCCGAAATACCGTGTCTGGCGTTGCCTTATTTCCAGAGACAAAGTTGTAGAGAGTCTTTGAGACAATGCCCCACAGCTTCGCTGGAGGCGGGTAGACTTGTGCTTGAAACGCTGCCTTGGGCATCATGTAGCAGTTAACCACCGCCGTCCTTGCCACGGTTGGAAGAAATTTATGTTGCCACTGGATAATCTTCCCTGTCATTGCTTCTGCAGTTTTTTCCCATGTTGGCAGGCAGTTTCCCGAGGGAGTGACCCAAACCCCCAGCAGCTTCTCCGCTTCATCCGCCTTTGCCCAACGGAATCCATTCGCCCGACCAGCCACTCTGCCGAGGTTATTCCCCAACGGTAAGATAACCGACTTGTCCCTGTTGGTCGCGAGTCCCGAGGTCAACTCAAATTTTGCTAACACTTGCTCAGCCCTGGTGATCTGCTGCTTCCCCTCCAGGACCAAAGTGGTATCATCCGCGTAGCCGATATACGCCAACCGCTCGCTCCCCTTGCAGATGCCCAATTTTCGCTTCAAGACCAGCTGCGCCAAAGGCTCAACCGCATACAGAAAAAGGTACGGAGCCATGGGACAACCCTGCCGGACCCCCGAAATCACCTCCACACCGTCTCCCATCCAGCCGTTGACTAACAGACGTGTCTGCGTTCCCGCATGCAGGCCTTCTACCCACCGCACCAACCGTTCAGGGAAGCCCATCACCCGAAGCGTTCGGAAGAGGTAGCCACGGGAGACAGAGTCAAACGCCTTCTTGAAGTCAACCAAGAGGAGAAACCAATCCTCATTGCCATTACGCGCCGCGTCAATGATATCAGCCACAAGCCTCACTGCATCCGTCAGCCGCCGCCCCGGGAGAAAGCTGTACTGCTCCGGTGAGAGCACCCGACACAGAAATTTCTTCATCCTGTCAGCCACTACTCTTGCCAGCACCTTGTAAGTAAAATTGAGGAGAGTGATGGGGCGGTAATTGTTGAGCTGATCTTTGTCCCCCTTTTTGTGCAAAAGTATCGTCACCGCTTCCTTCACCTCCGTCGAGAGGACCGCTGTTGATGCGAAGTCCTTTGCTAAGGCCATGAAGCCTTTACCCAACAAATCCCAGTGTGCTTCAAACAGCTCCTTTGGCAGGCCATCCTTCCCAGGCGACTTGTTCGCCGCCATCGCACCGAAGGCTTTCTTGACTTCTTCTTCCGTCCAATCCGCCGCCAGTTCTTCTGCTTCCCAGCTTCTCAGCTTTTTATCCGACGCAGGGCGCCAGTCATCTTCCAGCTGACCCCGGTCCCGCCCAAAGATTTCCGCGAAGAACTCCGATGCTGCACGAAGAATGCCTTGGGAGTCCGAGACAACCCCTGACGCCGTCTGCAACACTGCAATCTGAGTGCACGCTTTCTTGGCCTGCACCAGCGCCGTCAAGTGCTTTGACGCCACCTCCCCCCGGAGCTCCATCCGCAGACCCGACATCAGGAACAGCTTGTCCTTTCTCGACGCTTGGTACTCGCGCAGTTGCGCCTCGTGTACAGCTAACCGCTCGCACGTTGATTTGCAGGATGGATCTCGCATCATGGCCTGACGGAGTTCCGCCACCTCAACCGCCAGATGAGTCACCGTCGCTTTCACCCGCTTGCCGTCTTCTCTGGCGAACGCCCGGAGCCCAGCCGCTAGCCGCGAAAGAAGCAGTTCGAAGCGGCTACCATCAGTGACAACACATCTCTCCACCGTCGCTTCCACAATCCGCCGAACTCCAGGTTTGCGGACCATAGACGCGTGAAGCCTCCAGAGTCCGGGACCGAGAGATCTTGGCATCAATTCGAAGAGCCACCCGTATCGCAAAGCTGTGATCCGAGATGTACTCCACCGGCATCACGTGAGAAGCTTGTATCAGGTGAGGTAAGAGAGAGTGGGAGATAAGAGCCCGGTCAATGCGCGTGCTGGATTGCGTCGCTTGAGAGAAGAAGGTGAATTCCCGCTTTCTAGGATATAGCGCGCGGAAAGCGTCGGAGAGCTGGAAAGCGGTGCAACAGTGAAAAAGCCTATCATTTTCTGCAGACGAGCCTACACGGGACGACTTATCTAACAACGGATCCTCTATGATGTTAAGATCACCGATAATGAGCAAGTGGTTGGATGGCGGGATCAAGTCTACTACCGGCCAAAGGAAATCCCGAAGGAAAGCTGCACGGGAAGTCGCACTGGCCGGGAGGTAACAAGCCATGACGGTAAGACGCAGCCCGAGGCCATGGACCTCCGCAGTCACTAATCGACCGGACGGGTGGATTCCGACGTTGGAGAAGCTAAGGAGCGGTGAACGGCATAGAAGAGCTACTCCGCCGGCCTTCGTCCTAGGTGAGGTAGCTGCTACGAAACTGAAAGTCGGATGAGACCAGAGAGGATGGTCAGATGCTAATCGAGTGTCAGAGAGGGCAATGATGTCAGCTGCTTGTCTGGACCAGTCAAGAACACGCTGCTGCTTAGTCTTATCTCCTAGGCCGTTGACGTTAAGGCCCACGAAACTGATGAGACTTTTTTTACTCATTTGATAACAACTTGAGAACCCCTACACATCCACAGGGTTGAGAAGAGGACTGCGCTAACTACTGAGAGGGTTACTACTGACGCTGCTGCCTTCCGACCGAGCTGCTCTTGCCTTAAATCCCATACTCCTTCGTGACGTTGAGACCGGCGCGCTCGAGCGAGGCCCGAGTTGCAGAACCGAGCTTCTCCAGATGGATGAGGTGATTCGCCGAGGTGATGTGTTCCGCTGCAGTCATGAAGCTCTTCCCTTTCGCCTTCCCGCAGCCCACTTGTGTGCAGAGCCATTCTTCCCGGTTCCCTCCAGTGGAGATCAGGACCATGGCCGGGTCCAGCAGGATAGGAGTTATCAGCGGTGATGCCGGAAGAGACGCGGCTGCAGAAGACGACTTGACAGTTAGCCCAAGAGCAAGAACGAGAACAGGGGAGCACAATCTGAGAAAAGCAGTTACCATTGATACGGTGAACCCTTCCCAAGGTGAGATTCCACTTCCCTATGTTGTTTTGCCGCTCTGTAATGAAAGCATCATGATTGACGTCATAGTGCTGTCCACCGCAGAGCAGGCAAGACAGCGCAGGAAAGTGGACCAAGAAACGGCGACCGAGCTCCAGGGGGTCCTCAAACGCGTGACGCCAGCGGTAGCGGTCACCAGGGTGAGGGATCACGAGACCCTTAACAACATCAGTATCAGCACCAGTGACGGGATGCAGGACACGATGGAAACAGACGCCATCCTTGAAGGCCGACTGCCGCCGATTCCGCAGCTGGTAAACCACCATCAGCTCCCACAACATCTCCGGTGACTTCGTCGCAGGTACGTCCCGAATCACCACCTTAACCGTCTGCTTGTTCGTCGCCCGCTCGCGCACAAAAGCAGGATCATCCGTGTGCTGCCAGTAGAGCCGGAAGACCGTGCCGTTAGGACGCGTGTAGTCAACTTCCCTGGATCTGATACTTGTTATGTCCTCCTCGCGCAGGAGGGAGACCAGCAGACGGCTGTATCGGGTCTTCGCAGTATGGCGAACACGGTTGAATCCTCCGTCCTGACGTCGACTTCAAGCTCCTCGTCCGAATCACCTTCAATGAAGCCACTGTCAGGAGGCGCCGTACGAAGGGAGCTCAAACGCTCCTCCAAGGAAAGTCCAGAGCCGCTTGCAGGAGCATCGGGGATTGACACATGAATTGACGCCTCCGGAACCTTGTCCTTGCCTGTGTCAACAGGAACAGAAGAAGCGGGAGCAGGAGCCGCGACATGCGCATCCACAGAAGCCGAAGGAGCCTCCTGCGACGAGGCGTCTGGCAGGGTCTTGGCCTTTCCCTTAGGCGCCATGGTGCAATGATGAGGACGAGAAGGCTGTAGAACTTGGGAACAGACGACAGACGTCTGAACTGATGCCTTAACTCTGAGCACCGACATGTTAAATAGAAGAAGTCCAGAGGCTGCAGACCATTGTTCTTGATGTTGGTGATGAGAAACCGAGGTAGATGCCTCGGGATCCGTGTCTGTGATAGTCTTGATAATGATACCGTGGACATTGTTAGGCCACGTAATGGATGAAAGCGAAATCCGAAGCCTAGGAGTTAGCAGCGAACCATAAGGAACCTTGAGATCAGTTGCTTGACAGGAAACAGGAACTCGTATGCCGAAAGATACAATGCCCGACGTGTAGGCATAAAAGCAGTATTGATCGATGCGCCTTGTAACGAGGAAACCAGATCCGAAGTCTTTAAAGTCAACTGATACGGAACCTTCACGGGATCTAGGTTGAAAGCTGCACGACAGTATCCATGGCGGACCAGCCATCCTTCTTGGCGTTGATCGTCCGTGCATCAGCTGACCCAAGTACTCCAACTGTGCAAACGAAACTGCCCAGCCAATCAGTCTGTGGGGAAAAGATTCTGTACGTCAACCGCTCACAACCAAAACGAGTTACTGTACTCAAAGCTCGCAGTTCCGACCTTCTAGGAGCCGAAACCACGGTGCGCTGAGCCAAAACGACTAGGTAAACCGTCGATCGGAGAAAGCCGAACGATTGGGTAGGCCGCCGCACTCAGCGTGGCGGACGTACGGTGTCTCTACCCTACAGTTACAAAAAACGGACTTGCTGCTTCTAAACTGGTACGCGTTTCTGGCGCATCCCGTGTAAGAAATTAGGGGTTTTGCTGAATCACTTGCAAACCCAATAAACACATGTTCTGCTTGAATTTCTCAACCATGGAGATACCTCAACAAATCCCAACCTGCGCCGATTCTCTGTTCACAAGGACCCACGCAGTTCAGCTTCACCTCTATGATAGGATATAAGCCCAATTCGGTACTTTCATTATATTTTGTCTTAGTTGCATTTGATACAGCTGCTAATGGCTGTAGACAATCGCGTATAGTTGCTCATTTACAAAGTGGCCCGAAAATGTGGAGACAACACCAAGCTACACCAGAAGCTCAAGCGCGCCATGAGACTCTCGCCATGGACGAGGACGGTGCCAGCGATGCAGGAACAAGTCAGTTCTGTGCTCGCACGCGACGTGAGCTCGATGCAGAAGACGAGCTGCACGAAGCAACAGCTACGCCAACACCCATGAACGGCTCCAAGATACGGCATCACTAGATAAACGCTTACAAGGTACCGTATTGCTTGCTGCCTGCTGTAAAAAGCGGCAGGAAGAACTCGCTTCGCTTGAGCCGACGTGACATAAGATGTCTTTGATAGACAACTCGGCTCTCGTGGTTTCAACCATTTAGTCGCGTGATATTGCTTGCACCAATTCTCTTATCGCAGCTCCCCTGACCGAACAGAAGAAGGAAACGGGAAATCCCCAGAAAGGAGTTCACGAACGTACAAAACTACATGTAGTAGGACTTGGGTTACTGCATTGGTACAAGCAAAGTAGAAGTACAACAGCCTATCTACCACGAGAAAGTGTATTTTTATTTCTTTCCACCCTTCCCGCCCTTCCCACCCTTGCCCCCCTTCCCTCCTTTCCCACCCTTGCCGCCCTTTCCAGCCTTTCCGCCCTTTCCAGTGCTTGTTGTGCCCGCGGTCTAGCCCTGATCCTGCCCGCCTGCCCCCCCCTGCTCCCCGTTAGCCCCGCCCTGCTCTCCGCCAGCACCCCCTTGCTCTCCGCCAGGGCCCTCGTGCTCACCGCCAGGACCTCCTTGCTCACCGCTAGGGCCCCCCTGCTCTCTGCCAGGGCCCCCCTGCTCTCCGCCAGGGCCCCCCTGCTCTCCGCCAGGGCCCCCCTGCTCTCCGCCAGGGCCCCCCTGCTCTCCGCCAGGGCCCCCCTGCTCTCCGCCAGCCCCCCCCTGCTCGCCACCAAGCCCGCCCTGCTCTCCGCCAGGTCCGCCCTGCTGGATACCTTCCCTCCCTTTCCTCCCTTGCCCCCTTTCCCTCCTTTTCCGCCCTTCCCTCCCTTCCCACCCTTCCCTCATTTGCCTCCCTTTCCGCCCTTTCCGCCGCCCACCCCAGGACCGCCGGGACCACCCACCCTAACGTCGCCGCCACTGCCTGTATCTTCTCCATTTCCGGTATCTCCGCCAATATCTCCGCCACTGCTGGTATCGCCATTTTCGATATCTCCACCAATGTCTCCGCCACTGCCCGTACCCCGCCATTGCCGGTATCTCTGCCAGGGCCCCCCTGCGCTCCGCCAGGCCCGCCTTGCTGGTTACCAGGCTTCCCTCCCTTTCCCCCCTTGCCCCCTTTCCCTCCCTTTCCGCCCTTGCCTCCCTTCCCACCCTTCCCTCCCTTTCCGCCCTTGCCGCCCATCCCTGGACCGCCGGGACCAACGTCGCCGCCACTGCCCGTATCTCCCCCATCGCGGGTATCTCCGCCAATGTCGCCACCAATATCTCCGCCAATATCTCCGTCACTACCGGTATCTCCGCCATTGCCGGTATCTCCGCCAATGTCTCCGGTCTCCGCCAATGTCCCCACCTATGTCTCTGCCGCTTCCAGTATCTCCACCAAAATCTCCGCCAATATCCCCACCAATATCTCCGCCACTGTCAGTATCTCCGCCATTACCGGTATCTCCGCTAAAATCTCCGCCAATGTCCCCACCAATATCTCCACCACTGCCGGTGTCTCCGCCAAAAACTCCGCCATCTCCGCCGATAGCCGAGGTAGAGCGAAATAGAATGGGTGTTGAAAATGGATCCACTTTCTTCAAGAGAGAGAGGGCCCTAAGGGCCAGACTGCGCCGCGGAGAGAAGCTTCATCCAAACGCTGCACGAATAGCAAAAGATGAAAGCGTCAGTTGAAATTCATGGTGATTCGGAGTTTTGGAATAAAAGGAAGAGAAGTGGAGAGAAGCGACTTCCAAAAGCTGCGCAAATCGGAGAAAATGCTAGAGTATTCAATACGACTTTCTTAAAAGTCATCTCTCAAGTTGAGACTGTCACAATAGTAGATTAAGCTAAGACTAGGGTTTTGGGTAGGAGGAGACTTAGTGAGAAACATGTCGAGAGAGTTTGCCAAAAGAGCGGTTTCATTATAGAATCAAAGGTACAAATAGGCAAGAAGCAAGACAAGAAGGTGCACCACCAAACAGGATGATTAGGATAACTACACTACAGCTAGAACTACATGCAGTTATAACAATATAATTTTGACATCCCCCCATAACTGCATGCAGGAATAGCCAAGTGCAAGACACAACCTGCAGGGGTACATCATAGACAGAGAAAACAGCAACAGCAAGCAAGAGCAGTTGCAACCAGTGCAGTGGTAGCAGATTCAGCTGCACCAACCCCTCAGCCAAGATAGAAGCAGCAGAAGCAAGTGTAGGGGCGGCAGGTCACCTGAGGAGCAGGCTCTGTGGCTGCAACGTGCAGCAGGACAGTAGCGGCTCGACGGCAGCACCTGCAGGTCCCAGCAGCAGGTAGCAAAAGACACAGTAGCAGCTGGCGGCAGCAGCAGATGCCCGGCTGAATTTCGCCACTATCTCACCCCCCCCCCCACGGCAGCACACGCGGCAGTGAGAGAGAGAGGAGGAGGGGCGGCTGCTGGCTCGGCAGAATCTCTCTCGTCACTCCCTCACACTCTCCCCCTTTTCCCTCACCCCCCCCCCGCAACCTGCCGCTGGCGCTGGCTTCTGCCATCCGCGCTGGCGCCTGGCACCGGCGTCCGCTTCGAGCGTTGGCGTCCGCGACAGCGTCAGCGCTGGCGCTGGGCGCTGGCGTCGGCGTTGGTGCCTGGCGCTGGCGTCGGCGCTTGCGTCTGGCGGTGGCGTCCGCGACGACGTCGGGAGCAGGCGTCCGCGTTGGAAGCGGGCGCCGAGGCGACGGGACGAGGGGCGCCGATGCGAGGCGCCGCGGCGACAGATCGTGGGTCGTCGCGGCGACGGGACGCGGAGCGCCGTGGCGACTGCAGCGGCAGGGCGACGGGGCGAGCGACGAGCGTAGGAGCTGCCATTCCGTGAGCTGGCAGAAACGAGCATGAAGCTTCTGCAGTATTTGCGCTTGTGCGCTAGCAGGGGCGTCATTGCTACGAAAGGGTGGGCCCATTTAGACGTAGGTCCAGGAGCTTACAGCTCTGATAGCATGTCACAATAGTAGATTAAGCTAAGACTAGGGTTTTGGGTAGGAGGAGACTTAGTGAGAAACATGTCGAGAGAGTTTGCCAAAAGAGCGGTTTCATTATAGAATCAAAGGTACAAATAGGCAAGAAGCAAGACAAGAAGGTGCACCACCAAACAGGATGATTAGGATAACTACACTACAGCTAGAACTACATGCAGTTATATCAATATAATTTTGACAGAGACGACTTTTAGAGCTCTGGATGAATATCAGAAACTAAGTCAGAACCGTGCAAGAAGAACAGGGCAAAAGGAAGAAAGTGAGAGGAAACGGAAGCGGTATGCGGTATAAGGAATGTGAGGTGTTGGTGAAAAGCGGTTGATACGAGGATCGAGAACTTACCAGGTGCGAAACACTCTCGCGCCTCTCAAAACAAATTTGGTTTCTCAGAGGAAACTGAGGTGTTGGTGAAAAAAAATGGTGATACGAGGCGCGTAATCTGACCAGGCCCGGTGGACTTTCTTGCTGGCCATAGTATTTTATTCGCCATAGATACGAATATGAGAATTGAGGAATGAATGAACTAGCAAATAGGTGGGTACAAGTAGGAAAACCTAAATGTGTTGTACCCCATATTGTCTACCCCACTACAGCCTACACAGACTACAGCATATGAGTTTGACACACCCCCAAAGGCAAAGTGGGGGAGAACAAGATGTCACAAGACCAGTAAAGCAAAGCAGAGCAAGCTCAGGGTGGATCACAACGTCACCACACATTCCGAGCACAAGGTCTAGGCCACAAGGCCAGTTCACATGCAAGATCATATAAAAAGGTAAACAAGCAAGTGCAGATATAGAAAAATAACTGTACAAGCAAGGTCAAGAAGTGAGCAAGTGAGGCCAAGTAGGCACAAGACCTAGCATCGTACAGAAGCGCTGATGATCACAAGGCAGAATTGCCTTGGTGAAGATATCAACACTGTTGGCCTTAGAGGCCACGTAAGCAAGGCGCAGCTGACCACGCTGCTGCAGCTCACGAGCAAGGAAGTCGCAAAGAGCAATGTGCTTCGTTCTGTGCTCCAGTCTGTGCTCCCGACACAAGGCAAGCATGGCCTTGTTGTCTACGTACAGAACTGGAGGAGAAACGAGGCGTCTCTCTTAGGTCAGTCAGCAGGTAGGTGAGCCAGCGTAGCTCCTGTGCAGCCATGGCCCCCGCGTAGATCTCAGCCTCACAGCTGGAGCCGAGAACAGAAGACGAGCGGGTAGACCGCCACGAAACACAGCCGGAACCAAGGCTGAAGGTGAAACCCCGTGACGACCGTTGCAGAGCCTGGTCGTCAGCCCAAGAAGCGTCAGCGTGACCTGTGAGCACCACAGGACGTTGCCCTCCAAGCACTAGCCCCATGCCCGACGTACTGCACAAGTAGCGCAACACCCTCTTCGCTGCAGCCATGTGCACTGGTCAGTGTCTCCCAGAAGCAACATAGCGTGCCAAGATGCTAAGAGGGTATGCTAGGTCTGTGAAGAAATGAGGAATGAATGAACTAGCAAAAGGTTGGGTACAAGTAGGAAACCCTAGGAAATTGTACCCCATAGTGTTTACCGCACTATAGCCTAGACAAGCTATATGATATGAGTTTGACACACCCCCATTGGCAAAGTGGGGGAGAACAAGAGGTCACAAGACCAGTCAAGCAAAGCAAAGCAAGCTCAGGGTGGATCACAACCACACAATCCGAGCACAAGAGCAAGGCCAAAAGGCCAGTTGACATGCAAGATCATATATAAAGGTAAACAAGCAAGTGCAGATAAAGAAAGATCACAGTACAAGCAAGGTCAAGAAGTGAGCAAGTGAGGCCAAGTAGGCACAAGACCTAGCATCATACAGAAGCACTGATGATCACAAGGTGGAAGTGCCTTGGTAAAGATATTAGCAGTGTTGGCCTTAGAGGCCACGTAAGCAAGGCGCAGCTGACCACGTTGCTGCAGCTCACGAGCAAGGAAGTAGCGAAGAGCAATGTGCTTCGTTCTGTGCTCTAGACTGTGCTCCCAACACAAGGCGAGCATGGCCTTGTTGTCTACGTACAGAACGGGAGGAGAACGAGGTGGCTCTCCTAGGTCAGTCAGCAGGTAGGTGAGCCAGTGTAGCTCCTATGCAGCCATGGCCCCCGCGTAGATCTCAGCCTCACAGCTGGATGTCAGAATGTTATATTATCTAGCCTGCAGTAGGGTGATCTATAGCGAGCACAACCCAGTTAGGGTTTGCTATATGTATCCCAACTGCTGCTAGTGAAACTCCTCTTCTTTCATTTCTCTTTCGTCTACCCTAAACCTAGCCATGGCTTCTTAGCCTTAGCTACTATTCTGACACTGGAGCTAAGAACAGAAGACGAGCGGGTAGACCGCCACGAAACAGAGCCGGAACCAAGGCTGAAGGTGTAACCCTGTGACGTCCGTTGCGTAGCCTGGTCGTCAGCCCAAGAAGCGTCAGCGTGACCTGTGAGGACCACTCGACGTTGCCCTCCAAGCACTAGCCCCATGCCCGACGTACTGCACACGTAGCGCAACACCCTCTTCGCTGCAGCCATGTGCTCTGGTCGGTGTCTCCAGGGAGCAACATAGCGTGCCAAGATGCTAAGAGGGTATGCAAGGTCAGGTCGAGTGCAGATCATCAGGTACATGAGGCAGCAAACAAGCTCTGGGTACGGGCCAGTCGGCTCTACGTACTCATCCGACGGCAGAGCTGAGAGCGAGTGGCAAGTAGACAGAGGAGTGGCCTGAGGCGAGGAGTACGTGAAGCCGAAGCGCTGAAGGACCTGCTTCACCATGTGTGACTGAGTCAGGGTAATGGTGCGCTGTGCTCTGTCCCGGGTGATCTTCAAGCCAAGGTAGCTGCGCAGTTCACCCAGGTCTGTGCACGTGTGTCTCTTCTGCAGCTCGGACTTCACGTGGGCGAGTCTAGCAGTGTCAGCAGTGGTAAAGACCAAGTCGTCGACGTACAGGAGGATGTAGAACGACGTCAAAGAGGTGTCGGTGCGCAGAAACAGCGACGGGTCGACTGTAGAAGGAGCAAACCCAAGAGCAGCAAGTGTAGTCCTCAGTGTGTCGTGCCACTCACGGGGCGCCTGGCGGAGACCGTAGACAGGCCGTCGGAGGCTCCACTGGGTACCAGGAGAAAACGACCCAGTGAAGCCAGGTGGGCGGCGCAGCCACATCTCCTCGTGTAGGCTGCCCTGCAGGAAAGCTGTGCTGAAGTCAAGAGAGTGAAGCTTGTAGTCGCACTGAGCGGCTAAGTGCAGCAGTACCCAAAGAGTGGTCATCTTCGGGGTGGGAGAGAAGGTCTGAAAGTAGTCAACTCCCTGCCGCTGACTGAAGCCTCGAGCTACGTAACGCGCCTTGAAGACAGGCGAGGAGACGCGTGACAGTAGGACTGGCAGCACGAAGAGAGTCAGACTCCGGGTCAGCAAGAATAGAAAGACAGGACTTTGGAGGAGACGGCAATGGGACACGCAGAGGAGCTGTGGAAGGACGCAGTGCCATCTAGTGTGTGCCTGGGACCGCAGGAGGACGCGGGCGCGAAGCA